AGAATATTAGTTTTGAATCATTAGATTATGTGAAAGGTTTTTTTTCAAACTCAACAAGAGATATATTGATTTCTAATTAATAGTTTCTATAACAACTTTTAAGTGTAACAAATAGTATATATAAAGAAAAAATTGGTATGACGTAAAATATTTTTTTTAAAATATAAACAAATTATTTCAAAAAAACTCTTTGTTTTTTTTAATTCAAAGATAATAAAAAGATAAGATATTTTTGAACATTAGTAGAGAGTTCTAAAATTATTATAATAGAAGTTATATAATGGATAAACTCAAAAACGGAAAATCTTATAGAATATTTACATAATATCCGATCATATTTATTGTTTACTTTTTATAGNTGTAACAAAGAGTATATATAAAGAAAAAATTGGTATGACGTGAAATATTTTTTTTAAAATGTAAACAAATTATTTCGAAAAAACTCTTTACTTTTTGTTAATTCAAAGATAATAAAAAGATAAGATATTTTTGAACATTAGTAGAGAGTTCTAAAATTATTATAATAGAAGTTATATAATGGATAAACTCAAAAACGGAAAATCTTATAGAATATTTACATAATATCCGATCATATTTATTGTTTACTTTTTATAGATAATAAATAGATGATATACCGACAACACACGATTATACACATATTATATATGAATTATATATAAATTACACAGCATTCAATTTTCTAATTTAAGTGGTCAGATGAGCACCTGTTTAGGTTGATTAGATAAAGCCAAAATAAAAATATGAAATAATTTCAACCAAAGACTAAAATATAATTAAAGTTCATATGTAGACAATTTTTATTAAAACTCATCCTTTTATAGTGAAATAAATCAATTTTTTGTAGCAAAAGAAATAATGATATAAAAAATAAGATAAAAGAAAATATATATTGAAAAAATATTAGAAATATCTAAAAACGAAAAATAAAAGATGACAACAAATTTCTTCTTATGTTTCATCTTTGTTGAGTATAAAAATTTTGAAAGTTAATCTCATCGATTTCAAATATTTTTTTTCAACTTAAATACATAGATTATAAGATAATAAGGATATCTTAGAATATTTTTTTTAATTTACATTATGTGTCATTTTTAAAAAATCACTATTACTAACAAACTTATATGATATTTGAATTTGAATTGGAATGCAATTTTAGTAGTTTGCATTGAGGTTAAGCCAAGTATGGTGTCGAAAAATAAAAATACTTGACAATTTTAAGACAATATGTGCAATGTTTTATAATAATAATCAACTAATTTAATATTTAGTGATTTAAAGAACAATTTTTATATATATATAGGATATTAAAAATTTAAATTCCCGGGCTAGAGATATCGATAAACTTAAAGTGGAGTCATATTGAAATAAATCCGGCTAAAGAATCATTTAAATTTTTAGATAGCCGGTTAAAGTGAATTTTAAATTAAGGATAATATCTTCACTTGCATCATTATAAAGATAATCATAATTATAATATATATAAAGTTTTAGAAATTGCAAATTCAAAATAGAAATATTTTTTGAAAGATAAAATCATACCAAATAAGAGTTCAAGTCATAGTATAAGAGTTACGTCGTAATCAAAAAATCGTTTATATCGTGCCAACCTTTGTGTTTTGCCATAAATATAAGTTATTATTTCACTTTGTGGCTATTTTTATGTTCCAATGACACCTATGAGAATAGTGCAAAAATAAATTATAACTACGAGAATTGAGAAAATGTTAGTCTTTTTTCACGTAGTGTTTCTTAATTAATATCTGACGATTATCTATAATTATTTAGAAGGTTTAAATGTTAAGATTATTTACATATAATTCAAATAACTTGGATATTTAACATGGTTAATATCAAATATCAAAATGGAGTAAAAAAATTCACTAGCTAAAGAATTTTTTATATTTTTAGATAGCCAACTAAAATGAGTTTTGAATTAAGAATAATATTTTCAATTACATTATTATAAATATAATTATTATTGAAAAATAATATTTTAGAAACTAAAATTTTAAGAAAGAAATATTTTTTAAGAGATATTAACACACTAAATAAGAGTTCAAGTAGTAGTAAAAGAGTTAAGTCTTATCCAAAGAGTCATTCATTGTCTCAACTCAACATTTGATTGTTTTGCCATAAATATGAGTTATTATTTTAGTTCCTGACTATTTTTAGGATCCAATGACACCGGAAAGAATGATATCAAAAAAGAAAAATAGAAGAAATGGTTAATTTTTTTCATGTACTTAATATCCAATAATTATCTATATTTACTGAAAAAATGTAAATTTTAAGATTATTTACATACAATTCAAATAACTTAAATATTTGACATAATTAGTGTCCGTGCATCTGCGCGGGTACTAATACTAGTATAGAATAAGGAAACGTCTTAGTATTAGAATTATCCAGAATTTAAACTTAAAAAATCAATGTATATTCAATTCATTTAAGAAAATGGTAAAATTTTACACTGTAAAAGTAAAACGTGCCAATTAGATTATCCTTTCTGTATAGTAATTAATATTTAAATAAAATATTTATCATCTAATGTAAGTATTCTTGTCCTAAAACAAACACACCAAAAAAAAGAAGAGAAAGAAAAATAAAAGAAAAAGGCAACAAACGAAGATCGTGCAGAGCTGGTCTTATTATTTTTGTGCGTCAATTTCTCTCAAACATAGAAAGGAAGAAAAAGAAAAAGAAAAAAGAAAGAAATTGACTTGAAAAAGGCAAACAAGAGGAGGGTCCTCCTTTTCTTTGTCTTAATATAACAACCAAAGCCAGCAAACTAGTCTCCATTATAATTACTGTCTCTCTTAAACCCCTTTTAACGTTTTTCAAGACTTAGAAATTCTTTATTGTTAAATAACTACCTCACATTACAACTACTCGATTACCCCTTTTTATGTTGTTTTTAGAGTATACCCAGATCTGAATTTGTAAGTTTCTTGAATCTTGTTCACCATTTTCAGCTACACTATGCTCTCTTGCTAACTCAAATTCCCTTTGACTCTGGTAATTTTTTCTCTTTTTATTATCCTTTCAGTTTTTGTAGTACTTGAGTATGTGTAAGTTTTCATTTTGTGGGCAAAATTGTTAGTGTGATTTCATGCTTATGATCAGAATTAAGTTGACAATTACAGACATTTAGCTTAAAGTTGGTGCATTTATGTAAAATTATTTGCTGCTATTTTTTTTATAGGTTTGATAGTCTCTAGCTAAATCTCTTTTGACTCTGGTACTTATTCTCTTGTTTTCTTGGTTACTTGTTGGACTATTTCAGTTTTTGAAGTTTTAGGTTTTATTTTATCCTCAAGTTGTTGAATTCTCTTGAAAATTCTTGCGGTTAATTTTCTCTTTGTAGAAATAAGTTGAGCATTATGGACATTTTAGCAGTGTATGTTGCATTGGAGGAGAAATGCTGATGTTGAGAAGAATTTGTGGGTTTTTTTGCTAATTCCAGCGGTTATTGTGAAGGATTCATGAACTTATTGGTAGTATTTTAAGTTAGAATCTGGAGTTTCAGGTGAGAATTTATGAAATCTTCTGTCTTGTATGCAGTAAAAGGAGCTATACTCGGGGTGAGGCTTTCCTTTGGGTGCTCACAATGGCTAAATCAAGGCCGCAGTTTCAAGCAGAAGATGTGTTGTCAACATCGCCAACTGCAGTGCGCTCAAGAGAATGGGAAGGACCAGCTAGGTGGACGGAGTACTTGGGTCCTGATATTTCTCCAACAATAGGTCATAAGGCTTCTAGAAATGGTAGCTCTGATGGTACTGCCCATAGCTCAGGCGGTTCGACTAATAAAGGCTTGAACATGCAATGGGTCAACCAACTTACTCAAGTAGCTGAAGGGCTGATGGCAAAAATGTATAGGTTTAATCAGATATTAGATTACCCCGATGTCAGTGGACATGGATTCTCTGAAGCATTTTGGAAGTCTGGTGTGTTTCCAAATCATCCAAAAATCTGTGTTTTACTATCAAAGAAGTTTCCGGAGCACCACAGCAAGTTGCAGCTCGAAAGAGTAAGAAAATATGGCCGTCCTTTTATAGACTGTATTTTTGTTATTCCTGATGGAAAGTATATTCTTTTGTTTGTGTGATTTATACTGTGAATGCTGATATAGATTGATAAGTTTGCTTTGGATGCTATGAATGACGGCGCTGAAGTCCATTTGCAAAGCTTGGAACCATGGATTCAAGTAAGTTAGCTCTGCTTTGTTTTCTTCTTCTTTCTTTCCGCTCCATATTCCAGTGCTTTCGATGATACTTTAGATGCAGTATAGCTGCATAATTCGATGATACTGAAACTACCAAAAAGCTTTTAAGTATTTCTGAAGCATCAAATTTATTTGGGTAGGACTGAAATGTAAGGCACATATTGAGTTAAAGGCCCATATCTTGTCAAGAAATTCCTTTATCAAAAACTTATCAAGAAATTAACTAGATTTAAACCAGGGAATATTGGCACCCTAGAGCAATGAGAATTGAGAAGTAAAGCAAGGATGGCAACTAAATTTTGAAGCAAGAAAAAGTTGAGGCTGTATGCCTTTTAGACATTGATTTTTTCCCTGACGGCCGAGTAGTAAGATGGCATCAGTAAATGTTAAGAACTTTCTACCAACTAGTTTTTGAGCAGTGTTAAGAGGTTCTATTTGTTTTTAAGAAGTATTGGTTGGACTTGGAAAAAAGCCATTAGTAACTGACGTTTCGTAGGAGAAAAGAGTTGATTTCAACAGAATTACTTTTCCAGTGGATAACTGACTTTCCAGCACCTGTTTGTCTTGCATAATTCATAATAAGTTTATAATTGATACCTGCACAAATTATAATAGGGTAAAAAGGGTGTGGGAGAGGTATATTGGTGCATCAGTTTGATAGTAGGTTGGACTGCAACATCAATTATGAAGCGAAAAGTGTGTGGGAAATCAAATACAGGAAGGATATGTTAAGGGTCGAATTTTGTTATCCAGTCTTGTAATTTGGTGCAGAATTTGTCCAGGATATCACCTGTTGGGTGTTCTCTATCATAGTTTTGATACTTATTTGTGGAAAAAGGATTATTTGTTATCAAAAGTTGATATGGAGAGTATGTGCACTTAATTCAAACTTTCTTGTCTTGATCAGCTACTTCTTGACCTGATGGCGTTTCGAGAACATGCCTTGCGTCTTATATTGGATCTAAGCAGTACAGTGATTACCTTGTTGGTGAGTGATGATATCAACTTTTTACCTCCAACTAAATTTTTTCTTAATACAACCTTTGGTCTTTGATTCAGCACAAGAGAGCAACTTTATAGCTCAACTTACTCTTTTTTAATAAAAATAGGAATGCTACAGCAGGAACGGTTTCTGTCTTGACTAAAAGGGTAATGCTGAATCTTTTCTTATAACGATATTGTATGTGATATTTTACATGTTTTTTTTTGCTGCAGCCTCACCAGAACTCTCTCATACTGCATGCATTTATGGACCTTTTTTGTGCTTTTGTTCGTGTAAATATATTTTCAGAAAAGGCAAGTATTCGAACAATTCTCTGTTCACTATTTTCTGCTCTGTATATGGTTAATTGGAACTTTTATGCAGTGTTATTTTTAGTGTATTAATGCCTTTGTAAAATGTGGTTCTCTTTACTTCCACCACAGATACCAAGGAAAATGATGCTGCAAACATACAATTTGCTTCATGCAATGGCAAGAAATGACAGAGACTGCGATTTTTATCACAGGTCAGATTTCTTACGGGGGCTCGTTCTCATTTCTCTTAGATATTTTCGGGGATAGGGGGTGAGGGGAGAGGAGTGGTTCTTTGGCTTTAGAGGTTGGCGTCAGAGGGCTCCGAGAAATTTTATCGCCCCTTGAGAAAGCACGACCAGATATTGGAGTGCAATGTAATCTAGAAGTTTAACATGATGCCAAGTTTGTGTGCGCATATGACAGAGGGCGGATCAAGGAGAAGCACTGGCAAGCTTTCAAAAAAGGGGTGCATATGCTACCTTAGACAAATCTCACATCGGAATGGGAGAGGAAAATGAATTACTATATAAGACATATCACAAGTTCACATGGTACATGTGCTTTTAGACTCGATGTGGCGTAGTTCAAGTTCAAGGGACAAATATGTGAGGTCTGTTGGGCCAAAGGCCCAAAACGGTCAGAACGTGCCATAGCTCACGTATGACAAATATGGTATCAAAGTCGGACTCTTGCAATACAATGGTCGGGTAATCCTCAAACAAGGACACTGAGTCCTTAAGGAGGGGTTTATCCGTTATGACCATGCAAAAGGGAGGGCTTATGAGGGCGGGCTCGGAATCTCAAACGGACCTCGATAACGCCAAAATCTACTCCAAACCAAATTTAAAGAACTTTAAGACCTTCAAGGTGCCAACTATCAATATTAAGCGCCGAAACGCTCCCCGGTCATCCAAAACCCGATCCAAACATACGCTCAAGTCCAAAATCATCATACGAACCTATTGGACAGTCAGATCCCTCAATTAGAAGACGGACAAACCTTTAGGATGGTAAGTTTCCGAAGAAAGGTTGCATATGAAAGGGAGAGAATAGTAGTACTATATAAGGCAGAACTCAAGTTCACATGGTACGCGCATTGTTGACTCGTATGACATGCCCACGGAACAAATATGTGAGGTTTGCTGGGACAAAGTGGATACGTACCATATGAACCGAAATACACTAGTTCCCAGCTTACTTGTCAGCGAACTAGTTGTATATCTGCCACTGTTTTGGGAAAGACCCACTTGATATCAAACAGAGAGGGTGGAAGAGCGTCATGCAATCTAAAAATATTAAGAAACTCGAGGATCTTTTTAAATTAGCTATGGAGGTACAATCAGGAACACAATGCTTATGTGCAGTAAGTCTCCATCATATCTGAATTTGGTCCATGGAAACTCAGAAAATTTATGGGTAGAGTTCCGGACATTTTAACCAGAGATGGTCGGAATATTAGATTTGGCAGGATGCAGGGATTGGGAATACACCTCTGGGGGAGTAATTTTTAGCCTTATTCAGTTTGCCTAAGATACACAGAGCCCAATGTCGATAACAACAACTGGAATATCAGGTTCAGAAGGAAGTTGGTGGATTGGGATAGTTTAATCCTGCTAATTAGCATATTGGAGGAGAAGGAATGGGTGGGAAATGGGGCGGACACAGAGATGGAATTGTGAAAGCAGTTAGGAATATATGCAGGGACAGATGGCTATGGAATGCTCTCCAAGATAACAATAATGTTACATTCGTACTTCATGGAAAATGTTACGGTAAACCAGAGTCCCTTCAAGAGTTGCATTTTTGGGTGGATTGCGGATCATGAAACATTCCTAACTGTAATTTGATGAAAGAAGTTTTCTTTATTGTAACCTATGCTATGTGTGAAAAACAATTGGAAAATGTTAATCATTTGTTTTGCATTGTGCTTTGACGACAGAGATGTAGTGCATGTTTTAAATCTTTTTGGCTGAATGGGTGATGCCTACAATTCTGAGAGAAACATTTTGTAGTTGGAANAAAAAAATGTCGAAGAAAAAAAAAAAGGATCTGGATTGGCATACCTCTGTGTTTTATGGCTTAAATGGAGGGGGGATCAACACTAGGTTCTTTAAAGGAAGTGAAAAGGATCTATGCAGATTGACATATGCTTGTCTACATTGTATTTATGGTGTAACTTAAATGTTGTACATGGCATAGATAACCCGATAAAATTACAGTTTCCTATAGTCGATTATGATGAGATAATTCTGTAACTTTGTATCATCTGACCACTGTACTATGAATAAAAGTGATTCTATATAATAAAAAGAATTATAAGAAGTCGCTGAATTTCTTTCTTGTTTTCCTTTTCCAGGTTAATCCAGTTTGTCGATTCCTACGATCCACCCTTGAAGGGTCTGCATGAAGACCTGAATTTTGTCAGCCCTCGTATCGGAGAGGTCTTTCCTCCTGAATACAACAATCTTGTAGAGAAGTTAAATTGTTCATTTACAACGTCAAAAGGTGTTCTTGTGTCTAACTTGTGTCGCTATTGCACATTAAAATAAAAAAGGAAAAGAAAAAAACTTGTTTTATTGGTAAGTTACTTTCTGGATATATATTCTGTACTTTAACCTATTTCAGCTAGATGTAGGTATCTAGGAAAGAAAAAAAAGGGTTTTTCAATTTTCAATAATTTGAGATCCTTTTAAACGGCTTCTTGTAGTTTACTACTGGGGGATGAAATCCAGTCAAAAATAAATTAAACAAGAAACACAAAATCTTCCAATTCCCAGTTACAGGAAAACTAGATCAGCTCTCAGCTATTATTGCACTTCATTATTGCTATGAGTTTCGTTGCTTCAAATGGCTTTTGCATTAAATTGTGGTTACATTCTGCAAGTACATTAAAGTCTCCACATTGAACTTCATATGCCTTAAGCATGAATAGTAGGTACTGGTTTATGTGAGATATTGCTCTAAAGGTCTTTCTATTCTTTTAGGTTTTAGAGGCTGTAGGTCCCATTATATTCTTATCAACTGATACAAGGAAGCTGAGAAATGAGGGTTTTTTAAGTCCTTTCCATCCTCGGTACCCTGATATACTCACAAATTCAGCTCATCCAATGGTAAGTATCTTCTATTGCTGTATATTCAGGCACTGCAACTTGTCGTCTCATGAACATATGACAATCAGAGCAGAAGTTACACTCCAGATACCTACTTTATATAGAAATGATCTACGGATTTCACAGCTCCACTCACATTTTGTGATCCTTTTCTTATTTGCAGAGAGCCCAAGACCTAGCAAATGTTACATCTTATCGGGAGTGGGTGTTATTTGGTTATCTTGTCTGTCCTGATGAACTTCTCAGGGTCACCAGCATCGATATTGCTTCGGTACCTTCCAAAGACAATTGTTTTATATTATGTGTGTAGCTGTTGAAACTCAGAGTGCTGGTAATATCAAAGAACATGATAAAGAACGAGGGCATTTTTTCTAGCTTTGATACGGAAAAGATGTTGCGTCTCTGGAAGAATATGACCATGTTTATTAAACTGGTGATGCATTTAAATAAAGAATAAAGAACTTAAATGGTGCATTAATCTGCAGCCTAGTTGCAATATTGATTTTGGATAAACGCTGTCCCATATTTACTGGCCACTGCAAATACACACACACACACACACACACACACACACACTCTTTGCAGTGTTATGTCTTACATCTCCTTATCTTGCATATGTTCAACTCTTTTGACGAGTGGTCTTTTTTTTGGCATTTTGAAGTCAGTTGCATGTTACCCATAATTAAATGTAGCTAGTAATTTTCTTAACCTTTATTCGGTTTTATTTCTTGCAGATTGTACTCAAGGAAAATCTAGTCCTTCCTTTGTTCAGGGATGAGGTGGGTTATTCACATAGTTGCAGGTTATCTATGACAGTAGTGTAAACATGCTTTCATCTGGACTGGTGTAACATAATTGTATTTTCAATCCACAGTATATATTGTTGCATGAGGATTATCAGTTATACGTCTTACCACGAATACTGGAGTCAAAGAAGATGGCAAAATCTGGACGGACGAAACAAAAAGAAGCAGATCTAGAGTATAGTGTAGCCAAGCAGGTTGAGAAAATGATAAGGTACTGACTTGAGATTGGACGCTAAAAATGATAGGTTTCTCTATTTGTTAAAGTAATATTGCTTAAATACTGAATATGACTGAACTGTGTAAGCAAGCGGCATATCCTTGATTATATAGGATAAGCAAAACAGTGGAATAGGTATGTGAAAAAGCAAGGACACACAATTTTGTAGTGAAGATAAGGGAGGGAAGGGTCTTCTACTTCCCACATGAGATTGTTGGTTCGAGTTACCAAGGGAGCAAAGTAGAAAAATCCACTGTTGGGGTTCTTCATAGTGGAGTTTTGGGGTGGGGTGGGGGGTGAAGGTGAGGTTTACCATATAAAAAAATGATCTTATAGGAAAAGAAATGCTTTAACAATAACTTCCTATGATGTCAAGCTAGTCGTGATTGGGAGAGATCCATGATGCAATTTGAAATTGAAGAAAATGCTTTTCAAAATATGGAAAAATAAGTTAGTAACTGATCTGAATAAATCTCTCCATGGCACTAAAAATTGTAAGCGCCTTTGGCGTTTGAAAATCTCTCTTGTAGTCACTCTTCTATTTGGCTAGTCAATTGTGATATAGCGATAAAAAATCCCTAAAAGGAAGAACAACTTAAAGTGAGGTTCTATGGTACTTTCAACATGTACTTTTACTGCAGAGCTCTAAGCTATTCAAGCTTTCCACTGACATGGCTACGGGGATGAGAAAGTAGATGTTGCTGCATCTCCAAGACTTTTATTATTCTAAAATTAAGTTCAAGGGGATTTTGAAATGGAAACTAAGCTGAGTTAAACACTTACAGAAGGCTATCATAGCTCAGGCTTCTTGGCAAGACCTTTTAGTTTCTCTTCCTGCAGGAACCACTCCGCTATATAAATCGTGCATTACGCAATCAACTCCTCTGTTATATATTTACTTTGGTAATTGTAGGGCTTGGGGACCTAAAACCACACCAAGAAATAAGGCGAGAATGCACACTAAAGAGTCATGTATAATGAAGACACCAAATGACAATCACTGTCATCCTTTTTATTTAAAAAAGGCCTAATGCACTTGGTTTCATGGATGACTGTTTATATCTACTTTGATATCCTATTTTACTCTTCTTTATGCTTGTCTAAAGTATTTCTGTGCACCTTGGTTGTCATTGATAACTATGTAGTCATCTAACTCTTTTTGCTTCACTTCCCTTCTTAATTTGTGGATTAACCTGAAATTTAGGTCAATTGCTGCCTTTAGATATTAACAGATTGTTGATTGTTTCCTTAATGTTTTTTGAGGCAGAGCCATTGAATTTACTCAGTGACTTCTTTAATGATTGTAGTGAAGTGCATGACCAAGCATTATTTTCCTGTGATGCCATACACCGTGAAAGAAGGATATTCTTAAAACAGGAAATCGGAAGAATGGTACTTTTTTTCACTGACCAACCCAGTTTGTTGGCACCTAATATCCAGGTATGTTGTGCCATAAAAATCAGACTAATCTTCGTGTTTCAGATTCAGCTTGTTGCCATGGGCCTTGCCTTTGCCTGTCCATCCACCCACCACCCTAACCCGGTTCATCTACCAGCCTTGCTTTTCCTTATTCAGGGCCATATTCGAGATCACTTGCCACCAGCCATTCTCCATCTTCTACACAGTTTACTAAGATGGAACCTTATTTCGTACTTGGCTCATTTTGTTGGTGCATTAATTATTTAGGTCATGCATAGAGGTTGTTATATATTTGTGCTTGTATCTTCGGCTTATATCATATGCATGTCTTGTAATGAGTATTTTAGTTTATGAGTAAATCACTGCTTCTGTATCCCTTGGTCTGTGATTGAATGACATAATTGCATTATTTGCACAATTCTAGATGTGTATGTAGTCAAATATATTTCTCTCCACATTCATTTCTGAATGCTTCCGCAGATGGTATTTTCGGCCTTGGCCTTCGCTCAAAGTGAGATGCTATGGTATTTCCAACATTTAGGAATAGCTTCATCAAAGTCAAGAGCGGCTAGAATGGTTCCAGTAGAAATAGTAAGAGATCTTCATGTCGGCTTTTTGTGCGTAAAACTGATATGTTGTTATGCATGTCTTCTTTTACTGATTGCTCTTGTGGGTGTTTGATTAGATTTCTTTTATGTTGGTGCAGGATCCAAGTGATCCAACCATTGGCTTCTTGTTGGATGGCATGGATCGCCTTTGCTGCCTAGTGCGCAAGTATATTGCAGGTTAGACTTAATTTGTATAAAAAAATTATATAATCATACTGTAATGACATAGATCAAATACTTGAGGTCTCATAATCTCTTGGCCTTACAATGAAACCAGATGACTGATATTGTTTGGATTGGGCTCTATATTAACTGAAAATAGTGCAGCAAAATTCTCCTTGCTATAGTTTTAAAAATACTGAGAAATGAGATGATGAACTTCATGTAGTTTTTTTTTTAAATAACCGTGGTGTTCAGGCTTGCTTGCGCACGCCTCGACTAATTCCGCTGGGGACCTGCATCCTCTTAGCTTTTATTCGTTTATTTTGCTAGAACATTGTCCATTAATTTCTTTCTGGTAGTTAAACTGCAAAATCTCTTATTGCTTCTTCAGCTATTAGAGGATATGCTCTATCATATCTATCATCCTGTGCTGGTAGAATCCGATTTTTGTTGGGTACGCCAGGCATGGTGGCTCTTGACCTGGATGCAACTTTAAAAGGACTTTTCCAGAAGATAGTTCAATATCTTGAGAATATACCCAAGCCACAGGGTGAAAATACTTCTGCCATCACATGTGATTTATCGGTAAGCAGCTCATCAGATTTGAATTTTTTTTTCCATGCAGTCTTCTGTTTGATTGTTCTATGACAGCTAGTTTGTAGTTTAGTATTTCAGTTCTGAAGAACTATCAATCACAGCTTCAATAGTTTTGCCTTCAGATGGAAGCCATGTTCTGAATAATCCGTTGTCAAAAAAGAGAAATTTCCTTTTTTTATTTGATTCAGTTCTTAATGAGTTAAGCTAATATATACATTGTGAACATTCCTGAATAAAGCATGTATGAGCTAATGCATGTTTCATGTTTCATTTTTACGCTCATCATTGGATTTACTCTATTTCTGTGCCTTCTTCTGACAGCAAAGCATGCTTTTGTCTATCAGGAGTTACGCAAAGATTGGTTATCTATTTTGATGATTGTTACTTCTGCTCGTTCGTCTATAAACATCCGACATTTGGAAAAGGCTACAGTGTCTACTGGAAAGGAAGGCCTATTATCAGAAGGAAATTCTGCATACAACTGGTCCAGGTTCTGTCTTTTACCTTGAAAATTGTGACTTCAAATTAAGTTTCTGCATGATATTTTGCAATCATGAAGTCACTTTTGCTTATCTCGTGACCTTAAAGTTATCTCGTCCAAATGTACATGTGGCGTGGATAGGAACTTTGCCCTTGAACTTGATTACTGGTGTCTAGGAGAATGACGATCCTTCTTGATGTAACATGCATATTATTAGGTTTCTCATTTCTTAACTTGACTTGTTGGGAAGCTAATTGCATTTGTCATCTTACCTATATAGTTAGATGGTGAATTCTGGATACTATAGTATTTTATGACATCCAAAAGCCAAAAGTTCTTGGCAGTGCGGAACTAAATTTCTTTTACTTCTAAAATTGATGAGTTTTTCCTTGATTTTTCATCTACACTTGTTACCAAAACTTGAAAAAAGGTGTTTTTCCTTGTAAAATTGTCTGGAATCTGGATATAGACAGCACTTATTTCAGATGACCTGTGTGCGTGATTGTGCAATACATGTGTGAAATGACTTTTGTCTGTGTCAGGGCAGGTGTGTTGATGAGCTAGAATACCTGTTATCTAAACATGGGAGTCTAAAGAAGCTGTACTTCTATCACCAACACCTTACAACAGTAAGTTATGCTCTGCAAAAGAGATTGAAGAGCTTGTGCCGTTCATCGACTCTTTTGTTCCATAATTTTAGGAGTGTTGATGAATATCTCTTGTCGATCCTTCTGCACTCTTTGACTTTGACTTAAACATATATTCTTTCTGACTTTATCAATCAAAAAAGAGTTATTTCATGTGTAAGTTCTTGTCATTCCGAAATTGTATTTTTATTTTGAGTTTCAACTGTATTACAGGTTTTCCGTAATACCATGTTTGGTCCAGAAGGTCGTCCACAACATTGCTGTGCATGGCTTGGTGTCGCTAGTAGTTTTCCTGAATGTGCTTCTTCAATAGTCCCTGAAGAGGTATTATGGTAACTTGAATTTTTAAGGTGCTTGTAAATGTTTTACTCAACTCACTGGGGGCATGATTAGTTTCATCAGAAGGATTACAGCACACGTAGTTTGATGCTTCTAATCTTTTTATGGGTTAATCATGATCTAATTTGTTATATTTATCTTCCACTTTGCGGTATCACTGTTTTAAATTATGTTCAACTTCTTAATACATGATTCCTCCAATTTCAAACTGTTAGATGTGAATGAGTGGATGGGTTTAGATTCAGGATAACCTTCTTTAACCTAACGCTTCTGCTCAACCTCTTAATTCTCGAACCTTCCATTGACAGTTGACATTTTGACATTGGATGCTCTAGCATGCGTTTAAGAAGTCAATCTGACAAAAATTGAGAGAGGAGGAGAGAAAAGCTAGGAGAAGTTCAATTAAGTGTTTAGAGTGAAATGTCGATCCGTGAAGAGATCACTAATGCTTAAGACTGTCTTGAGTTCTTTGCTGCCCATGACTTCTTGATTATTTCGGTAGCATCATCAACATGTTCATTTTCATGTATGGATGGTAATGGATCGTGGCATTCTGGGCTCTAAACTGGCCAACAGCCTGGAGAGCTTTCAGGTGATAGCTTATCTTAGTGGCCCTCTTCTGTAACATCATTAACAGATTGTTTGTTCTCTCCCAACTGTGTTCGTGATGGATCTCTTTCTTAGTTTGGCAAAAGTACAATTGCAGAATGAAAGTTTTGAAAAAATTGAGCATAATTTTATTGTTTCTTGCTCAGATGTGGCAATGATTTTTTGCAGTTTCACTTGCCTTTTATTCCGCCACAATGTCTTCCTGTGTATTAGTAACTAATAAGGGTACACCAAAAGATAATTCCATGCTGCCATTTTACATTATATAGTAATATAAAATTCTTTAATCGTTAAATGTTGATCTGGAATGTTTTGAGTTGAAGAGTCACTGCAATGATAGCTACTTTTTTGATTGCAGGTAACTAAAATTGGTCGTGATGCGGTTCTCTATGTTGAATCCCTCATTGAGTCTATCATGGGAGGTTTGGAAGGGTTGATAAATATTCTTGACTCGGAAGGGGGATTTGGCTCTTTAGAGATGCAGGTTAGTATCCTTTATCATGTTCTCAACACATTGAAAGACTGGTGATTTTGTCTTTTCAAGACTAATTCAAGTGAAATTTCAGCTTTTCCCAGAGCAGGCAGCACATCTCATGAATTTGACTTCCAGAATTTCTGCTCCTTCTGGGAAATCCCCAAGAGCCATATCTGGTTATCATCTACCAGGCTATGAGAGCTACCCTGAAAATGATAATTCCATAAAAATGTAAGTCATATTAATCTTACATTAGATAACCAACCATCTTTCTTACAATTTTGTTCACTTGACTTCCTTGTACTTTTTAATGATAGGTTAGAAGCTGCAATGCAGAGGTTGACCAACCTTTGCTCAGTTTTAAACGACATGGAGCCTATCTGTGTTCTAAACCACGTTTTTGTTCTGAGGGAGGTAAGAAACCTCTCATCTTTCCACCCTTGAAATGATTGTGTCAGAGAGATGTCCAGATCTGAATCATTAATGTGTCTTACTCCTTCCGTTTCATTGGACACGGAGTTCAAGAAAGAGTGGATTAATAAACTGAGACTAAATATACTTGAATCGGGTTTATCTTTGGTCCATGGAGACGAACTTTAAGTTAACCCTCTCTAAAAAATTTCTTACTAATATTTCATACTTAAAAAATATCTTTGCTGCAGTACATGAGAGAATGTATCCTAGGGAACTTCAGAAGGAGACTGCTTGCTGTTCTGAAAAGTGATAATGATCTTCAGCGTCCTACTGTCTTGGAATCACTGATACGCAGACATACAGCTATTGTTCATCTAGCAGAACAACACATTAGCATGGACCTGACGCAAGGTATCCGAGAGATATTACTTGCGGAGACATTCTGTGGTCCAGTTTCATCTTTGCACTTGTTTGAGAAAGCTGCAGAGCAGCATACAGGATCAGCTACTGAAACTGTATGTAACTGGTACATTGAAAACGTGGTCAAGGACGTCTCAGGCGCAGGTATCCTCTTTGCGCCTCGGCACAGATGCTTCAAGAGCACGAGGCCAGTTGGCGGATATTTTGCTGAGTCAGCGACGGATCTCAGGGAATTGAAAGCCTTTGTCCGTGTTTTTGGTGGTTATGGAGTTGACAGGTTAGACAGAATGATGAAAGAGCACACAGCTGCGCTCTTGAACTGTATTGACACATCATTACGGGCAAACAGGGAGAATCTGGACGCTGTTGCTGGAAGCATGCATTGTGGTGATCGGATAGACAGAGACACAAATATCAAGCAGATAGTTGATTTGGACACTATGGTCGGGTTCTGTATTCAAGCTGGACAGGCCATTGCTTTTGACCGCCTTCTTGCAGAAGCCGGTACAGCTGTGCTTGAAGAAGGTGCTCCTCTGATACATTCATTACTGACAGCGGCTGCTAAGCATTTACCTGATGAAATACCTGAGAAAAAGGAGATTAGAAGGTTGAAAAGAGTAGCAAACAATTTTAATATAGCTGGTGACCATGACGCTGAGTGGGTCAGGTCCATACTAGAAGAGGTTGGAGGTGCAAATGATGCTTCCTGGAGCTTGTTACCGTATTTATTTGCCACTCTAATGACATCTAATATATGGAACAGTAGTGGCTTCAATGTCGACACTGGGAGCTTCAGCAACAACATCTATTGCTTGGCAAGGTTCATTTCTTGCTTAAAATCTCTTGTGTGTTATATTATGGGGACGTTTTGCTCCTCCATCTTTCTACAGATTTTTCTTAGCTATGTGGGTTTCTTTCTTTTCTCTTTTTGCTGTGCATCCCTTGCTCCCCGTTTTCAGTCTTGTGATCATATGTTGCACACTTTATATAATACCTTTGGTAGTTTTCGCTGTCTATGGTGCTAAACCTTTTTCTGTTTCAAAGAGTAATATTTGGGTTCTTTTGGAGTTAGGGGAGAAAAAAGAAGCTTAACTTGTCTCAGTGTGACCTATTTGGTAAACTCTAGTTTTATGCCTATATCAAGTGAACTAACAGTTATTTCTTGAAAATCCATCCATGGATGGCAAAGTTGATCATCATGTGACTAGTACTGGGCAATGCATGTGCATACTTATAAACCTTTTTCCCTGGATGAAGTATGCTTAAAAACATTTCACAAGTGCTTTGTCTTTCTGATTGATCCATTATTCTCATTCTGTAACTTGGTTTTTCTTCTGGCAGGTGTATTTCTGCAGTAATCGCAGGAAGTGAATTTGTTAGACTTGAAAGAGAGCATCAGATGAAACAATCCTTTTCAAATGGCCATGTTGGCGAGACATTGGATCCTGAAACACACAACCGAATAACTGTTGAGACAAACATAAAATCCACAATGCAGCTCTTTGTGAAGTTCTCATCTGGAATTATTCTCGACTCTTGGGGTGAGAACATCAGGTATGTTCATGTTTCTAATGTGTCTACATAAGGTCATCTTAAAATTGTGAAAATCGACCTCCTTTCTTTTTTGTTCACTTAAGTGTTAGAAATACTGTTAATAAAATCATATAGGCAGCCTGTGCAAAGTTGAAAAATAATTCAAGACCAATTAAGTCGCACCACACCTCCATTGGCAGTTTATCAACCATTGGTTGGTCTAGTTTTGAGCTTAAAACCTTGGTTAAAACTAGAATTCTGTTTTGACTGAAGTTGATGAGCACGAAGAGACAACCCTATATTAATTGACTATTGTTTCTTTCATGTAGCGTCATGCATAAACATGGGTTGATTTTTAACTTGTCTTATAATGTTCAAAAATCTGAAATGTGTGTATACCTTTTCTGCTCAGATCCCATCTGGTGTCAAAGCTCATTTTCCTGGACCAGTTTTGTGAGATCTCCCCTTACCTACCAAGGAGCACACTGGACGCTTACGTTCCTTACTCTATTATCCGCTCAATATACGNCTCAATATACAGTCAATACTATGGAAGTTCATCTCCAGCGCCACTTGCATTACTTAGTGGCTCACCCCGCCATTCTCCGGCTGTATCGCTGGCACATTCATCCCCTGCAATGAGGCAGCCTCGCGGTGATTCCATTCCTCAGTCAAATTCTAATGATTCAGGTTATTTCAAGCCATCCTCAAGCCATGCCCAGGATCAACTATATGATACAGAAAGTGGAACCATTGAAAATAAACCTCGAAATATTAGGCGATCTGGACCATTGGAATATAGTGCAACTCGCAAATTAAAACATGTGGACAGCTCAACCTCGGCAAGCACAGGCCCCAGTCCATTGCCAAGGTTTGCAATGTCTAGGTCGGGTCCTATATCTTATAAATGAAAAAATACAGAACTTTTGAAATATGTAAATTTCCGTCTTCCTGTCACCTATTAGTCAGTAGTGGACTGCCTTCGATGTTCATACAAAATTTTGGTGTATTTATACATAAAATTCCTCTGTTTATTCCTTGACGGTTAGCAGTAGAAGCTGTAGGAAACGAATAATCAGGCTGTGAGAAGCTAATTATGAAATATTTCAATTTGCATTTGTTGTGTAATGAACTCGGACATAGCGATATTATGTAATCCCAGTCCTCCCATGTAGCATCCTTGAGTTCTAAGTTTCACCATTGCACTAGTGTCTTCGCCTTGGCACAATTACCTTCCTTGACTATTCTGCTCTATAAATGGAATTGAAAGATTGGG